TTTTTATTCCTGGAAACAATATTATTTATTTCAATGTGTATGCTGCTGGATACAGAAATCCAATAAAAACATATCATCAGATATCCATAGTAAGCATCATTAGAGCCTTGGGGGCACAGTGACTAGAATGCAGTATTGCAGGCTAATTTTGTTGACTGCCAGGAGTTTGATTCTCACCATCTTTCTGAGATGGGTAAAATGAGGACCTGACTTTGTAAAATGCTTAGAAAGTACTATAAAGCACGATGAAGAGGTATATATGTCTGTGCTATTGTTATTGCCATTAGAATGACAATTGTAAATATTATTGTTTATTTATGGTCTAAGACCACACCTGTAAACAATGTGGAACAATAAAAACAACCAAAATATGAGGCAAAATATAACTGCGCTGTTAAACTGAAATTTAAAAATGATGACAAATAATCACCCTACAATTTAAAGAAGACCGCCGTCTAAATATTGTAGTTTATAGAACATTAAAAATGAGTCTTAAATCCAAAATAAAGCTATTCTATAATGCCGCAACAACTGAGAAACAATATGCTCCCTGACCTTCATGCCCCTTATTGTATTTGCATAAGGCAATTGTGTTGCAATAGAGATTAACCTCTATTGCAGACCTCCAAGGTCCCTTCCAACTCTGTTATTCTGTTAATAAATACGAAATTTGTTTTCACATACAGCATTGTATAAACTTAGGACAATGGCTTTGACTTAAACTGAGGTTAGTTGCAGAAATTAATGATTTACAGCACTATAAAAATGATTCTACTTAACTCATATTTAATAAGTGTCTGATAATAAATTTTAATCACTTTTCAAGGGTAAGTGTAGGCTTCATTTTTAGAAACTAAGTATAGTTTCAAAGTAATAATAAATTGTTTTCAGGTTAGCTTTCAGCCACAATGGGATGTTTTAACTTTTCGATTAAAGCAAGCACATAGTTGTTGAATGAACCAGATCTAATTCAATTACTTAATAGATATTATATATTATAATTTTGTATTATATATATGTGTGTATGATATATAAAATACATCAGATATTCCAGATATAGCTACACTATTGTTTCCAGATCCTTTGGCTATACAATAATTTATCAACATCAGAATTCTATAGGTTGTCTGTCTCTATCCTTATCAATATCTCTAACGGGTAATTTGCATTAGTAAAATTATTCATGTTTATTAGCTTGTCTTCGGGAAACAGAAGACTATTTCTATAACTGGCACACATATTTCTGAACTGATGACTTGAAATAGAAAGGTTTTTAAAAATTAAATAAGCAAATTTCAGCCAAGGCAGCACACAAAATTTAAAACATGGGAGGTGATAATGTTAACATATTCTTCCTCACCTTTTTCTTGCTATCCATAATCTGAGAACAAATGAAAGCTTTCCAGCTATTTCAGGGAATAGCTATTTCTGAATGGTGACTGTAGCCTGCTGTCATGTTTGGTTTTTTCCCTACAGTTACTCGAAATAATTCCGCTTTTTTGCTATTCCTCCTCTATATGTAAGTCAGCTGGGTGAACTTGGGCCAGTCGTTCTCTCTCAGCCCAAGTTATCTCACAGGGTTGTAAAGAAAATAGAAGTAGGAAGGTGTATTGGATAACTAACTAACTAAATAAATATGTAAATTTACACAGGCTTATTCTCCGCCTTGCTTTGAGCTACATGTCCCTTCTTTTATACTCATTGTCTTCTTTGTCCTTGAATTCTTAGACAGAAAAGTAAAAGCTTAATTTTCTCTGTCTGTGTGTCTATGTGTGTATGGTGTCCATGACAAATAGAATTGATGAGGCCTTTTAACTGTAACTTCAGAAAAGTTGTGAACTGACAAACTATATTAAATATGAAAAAAATGATTTTGCATGGTGATGGGAGAAGCATAATCTGAGTAATACTGCAAAAATGAATGAAGGATGTCACATTTTTAAGGAAAGTCATAGGTTACCATTTACTAACTGCATTTAGCAAAGCTATTAAGTTGGCAAATGAAAACTGAGATGACTTCATTGGAAAAAAATGGCATACAGTATTTGAAACAGATTTTGAAAATCTTACCGCATGTTTCCTGTTCTGATCCATTTCTCTTTCCCCCAAATAACTATATAAAATGTTTAAACTTTTAATCTGTTTCTGTTCTGATCCAGTGTTTCTCATTTTCACATTTCACTTTGTGCTTCATGATCTTCAAGAAACGGAAGATTATATGAAGAAATCACACATTTAATATATTTATTTCTTGGTTGAATGGGTATATTCCAAACCTCCTTCAAGGTTTTTTTCAGGTGATGCAGAAGATGGAAGAACCCAAAAAAAGTGAAAAGCAAGAGGAATTAGTATATGTGCTATGCCAGGAGCATAGTGCAAGTTCTCATGGTACAAGCTTGCAGGTTGTACTCCTGTGCCATTCATAGATATAATCTATATTTTGCAATATTTGAAAGTGCTTTTCAGAAATCATATGCTATGTATTGATTGCAAAGCCATGCACAATTGAAATGCTAACAGGAGCAACACATTATCTTGAATTCAATATTTAAAATATGTGCTGCAGTATGATTTGGGTACAATAATATTGTCTAATTTTCTTTTCTGAATGAATATCTGTTTTACAAATGTTTTCAATGGTTTTATTTTACCTTGTAAGAGATGCAGAAATACTTTTATGGCAAAACCCCCAAGCTTTACATTTGTAAGCTTATCTAATTTGTAAGCAAATCCATTAGAGATCAGCCCATTTTTGTCTGTATTTTTTTTTATTTGCACCTTTTGGGAATGTTTTTTGAATATGATATCTTGTTTTTCATTATTTTGACAAATAGGTTATTGAATAGAAGATAAGTATATATAATTATAACAATTGAATTTGAAGATGGGCTTTAAAGAAGGATGAATAATTCCAATCTTGTCTCCTTCCTATTTTTTTCCATTATTTACCAAAGCTGGATCCAACTCTGGCTTATTCCATACCCTGGACAATTGTGGAAAGATGTCACCCCCTTTTTCTACCATAGCTGAATCCACAAGCAACAGCTTGTCAGTAGCCAATAAACTACACTGTTGTTGTCCCCTTCACATCATTGCACAATAAAGGGCCTCATTGGTCCTATCATAAGATTATAGCTAAAGGCATTGTACTGTACATTTTTTCTTAAGAATAACTAAATAAATAATAATTACCGGTTCCTGATGTCCCTAGATCTACCAGGAGTACTAATTCCTAGATTGAAGAAGAAAGTTAAAGGTATGCTAAAAGTTAATCTGAGGATTCAATTTTCAGAACAGATAAATATCTTTGCCCAGTCTCAATTAAATATTTGGATTTATATTCTCAAAAAAAAAAAAAAAAAACACGAAGAAGCAACAGCCTCATGGTTTGTAAGTTGTGATCATTTAGACTTTGCTACAAAGGAAAAATTAAAGGGGTATATTATTGGAAATGGAATGATATCTACTTGCATCTCCTAAAGCTGGCTATTCACAATAAAAAATTCTCCCTAAGTGGGCCATGTATCTTGATTGCACTCAGGTATGACAAGATGTTAAGAAAAATGTTTTTAAGCACATTATGCTACTATAGCATCATAGAGGATCTGTCTAGGTTAATATTAATGGGGCAATGAGCAGGTTTTGCTTCTTTACAACGGTGTCCAGGTAGAACATTTTACTTTTTCTCAGTAGCTAGATAACTACTAATCTGTCGGAAAGTTAATCTTGCACTATCTGCAAGTACATACATTAATTGAGAATCAAGGTTGTCCTATCAGCCCTATTGTTTATTATGCTCCCAGAGCATATCAACATGCAACCTTCTGAAATAGACATATTTGTGCAGAAGATATTTATCATGTTAGATTGTTGCATGTCTTCATAGTGCTACGTAAAGGCAGGTAAAATAATATACAGAAAGGAAGAGTTTATTTTCAATTGCCAGAAAGGTAGGGTTTTTTTTTTGCAAATCTGCAATGTTTAATTAAAAGATAAATATAAATGTGAAATAAGGTATGAAAACTGGATTCTTAGTTTTCTATTTCCAATAAAGTAAAGATGATGGCATAATTAAAATGTTTATAATGACATTTAAAATGCTGTTTCATTTCCATGGTAGGTCATAACTCTGTATAACAGTTAAGAATATTGCCCTTAGGTTTTCAGAAACTAATCTGATCTAGAAATGTGATCTGGTTATTTGCTTTTTGAAAACGTATTGTGATGTGTTAAGTATAGTAATCTATTTTAAATATTTGAATATAAAGTACTTTTCTTAGGTATTAAAATCATGTCTAATTTAGTAGTGGGAGATCCCGCTGTGGATTAGCTATCTAATCTGAAAATAAAGAACAGTATATCAAAATAAATAAGAATATGTTTCTTAAAAAATCTTTCTTCATAAATTTCCCTGAATACACTGCCATGCAATACTCTTATTAAGACTAATCAAATATGTACAAAATGATGTGTGATAGGAAACCTAATGTCTTAAATAAAAGTTTTGGTCTGCCATGGTTTTTTAAAATGAACTAGCATGACTTCCTTTGTACATTAACAGAAAATCATTCTTCGTATAAGCTCTAATATATGGACTGTTTTTCACATGAAATGTATTTTCATAATTCTAATATGATCTTTGAATTTAGTATAGAAAGAAAAGCTTGTTTTAAATGTTGCTCAGCATAAGCAGGCCTTGTGAAAATATTTGTAAAAGGAAAGTGCTTATACTATTGAATAAAGTTTGCTTGCTTGCTTTTCAGTAGCACGAGGCTTCTGGTTTGGGACAGTAAAAGAGACCCAGGCACTATACTTTGTTGAGATTCCATATGCACCATATTCTGTCTGACTCACACACACATTCTCTCTCAGTTTTAAAAAATGATACACAGAATAGTTAAAATGCAATAGTCTATAGAAACTGAGAATACACTGACAAGTTTTCCATATAAACCAATATTTACCAGTAATCTTGTGTTTCTATTTTTGTTTTTTGGCAGACTTTTACCAGTAAATATCGGTTTATTCCTGAAACCAGAAGCCCTAAACATATCTTTGTTTATAAGGTCAGTCTTCATTTCCTGTTTCTGTCCTTCCCCACTTATTTACAAACTCTGTTGTTTTTCAGGTTATGGAAGGTATGGAGTATTCTTTTTGTTTTCCTGCTTGCCACCATTTTTTTAAAAAAAATTGAACTTTGTTATGCGTGCAGACTGGAGTTTTGGGCATTCTTTTCATCTTAGAAAATTTTATATATAGCTAATAATTATATTGAAGTCCAGAAGAACATTCAATTTAAATGTTTATTATTTTAATATATAAAATTGCAGAGTGAATTAGTCATCCATTTAGCAAAATTCTTAGATGGGCATTGACTATTTATAGTTAAACATTATATAATTCCAAAAAGTGTTAACATGTAGTAATGAAGCACTGAGTTTAAAATAGGATTGTGCTTTAAGTGATTTTTTGAAATATATTTCTACAGAATCATTTAAATAAAAGTAGGATTGGACTTCAATAAAATTGTTGCGAATTCTACTGTGACAGTAGCCAATACGGAATGACATTGAATTTATTGAATTCAATAAATTGAATATGTTGCAATAGTTTTTGAAATGTTGGTGATCCATAATTATAGTATACTTAACTGAAATTACCTGCGAGCACCCTTCTTTCCATTAACTCTTGCTTTTAAAGAACATGTATCAATATCAAGCTATACTTTTTAATTTACAAATCAAGTAGTATCAGTGGAGCACTGATAACTTCAACAGCACCCTCATGTGCTTCTTGTCATCTGCTTCTGATATCTGAATGCCTGCAGTCCCATGGAAGTATTGGAAATCTCATATATTGGTGATTGGGTTTAGGATTCTGTGTTCCTCTGCATAATGCATTTTATGATTTCAAGCATTACACTAAATGGGTGGGACTATGTAGGCTGTCATGCTGTGTGAATATTGGGGTGGCCTATAGAGTTGTGTAGCATTTATCATGTTTGGTTATATCAACAATTCTTCCTTTTAAACAAAATCCCTCTCATTCTTGAATTTTCAGTTTCTTGTCCCAATTGAAAACTAATTTTCCTCCCCTTTTGCAGCTGTCTTTTTGTGATTATGATTGTGCAATATTATTGGCCACAACTTTAATCTGAGCAATTGACACTGGTCCATCTTCAAATCATTCAGAAGACTTGAAGAGAACTCCTCTTTCTACTCTGGAATTCAAATGTATATATTTTATCTGAAGTACGTTATTTAAAAGTCAAATTTGTCTCATCTTCAGTACCTATACAATTCGAAAAGTTCCAAAAATACTATATTATGAGCCTTACCTATATAGATAATTCCTTTCATGATTTCAAATTGAAAAAAGACTTAATTAATTAGGTATATCAGCCGTGGTTTTTTTAGTGTCAATATTCTAATTTTGTAATATTGTCAATATTTAATCAAATTGTTGCACAGATGCCAATTCAATTTTATTCAAAGGTGCTTGACTTTTCCATACTATATTTCTGTCAGTATTCAGGTGATACAGATAATTCTGTGTGCAAACTTCCCACAATACTAAATATCCCTATAGAGATATAGAGATACATTCATACAGCTGGAATTCTAAGCCCAATATTGTTAAATATCTTTACTGAGTGCCTGTTAATACGGTAATTTGAAATTGTGTATAACACAATGATCACAATGTCAGACTAAAATTTCAAATACTGATTTGATAGCCTAAACAAGGCCTTTTCTAGCTAATTTGCTCTTGTTACTTTCAAGTGTTAAAACAAGCCAGGATTTACCAAGTGTACATTTTTTTCATTGCAGGTAAAGCAGAAACTTAAGTCTTCAAATGAGTCAGTATTCATAAATCAACTTAGCCCCTTAAAGATGGCTTCTAATCCTTAGTTGTTAGAAATATTTAATCATAGTCATGAGAATCTATTAATAAATTCATTTTCCTATTTTTTTTCTTATCCTCACAATCAGAAGGAAGAAGCAAAACGTGATTATACCACATGTACCCAAAAACTGCTAATAGTTAATATGGTTTATTTTGCCATATGAAGGTTTTTACTGCTTTATGTGCAAATCTGGCCAGTGAAATGGTAGAGTTTGTAAATATTTTTGAATAGATGCCACCAGAAAGATAGTAAAAACTGAAAGACACTTTAAAATTTGACAGAATAAAAACTGAACAATAGTTTGAATTAGTTTTAAAATTCTTTGGGCCTGAGATCTTCTCAATTTTCTGTCCTCTTGAATTCTTAACTTAGAATGAACTTGGTTCAAATGTAGGATTTGTCCCAAGGCTTTAGCACCTTGTGCACAGTTTAAACATTTCCAAACTGTTTTCTAGGTAAGAAGAATAATGGGAACTACTCTGGAAATCAGTGCTTGTTCTGAGAATCTTTTCTTCTCAAGATGAGGTACCTGCACAAATAATCCAGGAAGTTCAGAATGTTATTGTCTCTTGAGAAATATTGACTGCTGGATGACTTTTTGTTATCTGAATGTAGGGGTACTGTTAAAATTTATAACCACTTTTAAAATAGAAGGATTTCCTTTTTCTCACAATGGTGCACATCGTTGTATTTGAATGGAAAGATCTGACGGGGCAAAGTAATCCTAAATACCTTTCCTTTCTGGATTTAGAATGTTTTGCACATTTCAATTTTCTGTAAAGATCAAAACAATATTTCTCTTGTCTGCATATTTTTGCTAGTTAATATTTATTAGATGTGCCAAGCTCCATTGGATATATTTTTCTGTAACTTCTGAAATTATTAAATAACCATATACTGTATGAGTGCACACATTAGAACACTGGAATGTTGAACTAAGCATTTTTATGTAAATAATTACTACTTTTCAGTTGCAGAAAAGCCTGGATATCATCTCATAACTGTTGTATTTTGCCCTAATGGGAAATGTTCAGACATTCTGTGATATATGTACTTGTGCCAATGGTTATGTGTAACTACTAATTATAAATTGTAAACATGCTTGTTTCATTGTTCAGAATAGTATTCTCTTGTTAAAAATATTTTCAGTGAAATGTGAAAAGGAATTTATTTATTTTTTTAAGATTGTCTTGCAAGGTCTGTTTTCTCTACTTTTTTCCTAAAAAATAGTAGGGTAAAGATTGGAATTTTGTTTAGTTTTTCACTTGATAGACCAAAGTTACTATTGACACTGTCTTGCAATGCTGATCAAATGTATATCTTTTTGCACTTTAAATGAATAAGAAAGAGGAAAATCAAAGTGTCAATTGTACATACATTCACTGTACAGTGAATGTATACCATTAGTTAATCTGTTTTTAAACAGAATATTTTCCTTTGTGGGAAGGGGAATACTCAAGCAATGTATTTGCTAGTCGATATAAAGTGTTTACATGTAATTACTTAATAAATTATTTGATTTAAGATGGATCTTTCTGGTGATTTTTAAATGATAACTATAATATCTGGTTTTTGTCAGGGTATAAGTATTTAAAAATTATATGGAATAATCAGTTTCAATATATTCATTTGATTAAAATTCTGAGGAAGGCAAAAGTCCTGAACTTGAGGCTGCGTGCAGGAACTTTGCTTCACTTTGCATTAGACACCTTACAGCCTCAAAAACTACTTTGCTTTTTGTTGGCTTTTCTTCTGCATTTGAACAAGTCTCCTGGAATATGCGTATTTTGCACGGCGGATGTCAAGTTGTGATAGTTGTTCAGGATAGCTGGTTCTGTGGCCTATATTGCAGTAAATGTGTGGGCAGTTTTGTGGGTGAACCTGCTTAAGCAATTTAGGATTTTTTGTTGATACTATTCTATACCAGAGACAAGATCCTAAATGTTAAAATAGAACTCAATAGTAAAGCTGTTGTTCACTTCCTTGGTCTTATAAGATTGGGTCTTTTAGGTTTCCTTAAAAGGATTAACAAATGTCATTCATCTTTGAATGTACAAAAGCAGAGTGTAGATCTGTGTTCTTTTAGTTCTTGCATAAATAAGTTATATTCGGCAATAAAATGTAGACAAAATTAGAAATACTCTGTAACATAACTTTCCACCACTTGTATTAACTTTGCTTGGAAGAGGAGCCTTGAGTAGGCAGAAGTAGAAACCCTGCTTCTTTATACAGAATTTCCCAAATTCTGATAATTATGCCTAAGTTCAGTATGTAGATCCAGTTAGCAGCAGGGGGGGGGGGATCTTATTCAGTGATGAACTGAAAATTATGGATTAATAGATGTTATGAAACTAAAACCAAATCTTATGCTACCATATCTATACAAGCCATGATGATGCAGTGGTTAACTCTGCTCACACTGCCAGGAGTTTGATTCCTTCAATCCTGACCAGCTCAAGGTTGACTCAACCTTCCATCTTTCTGAGGTTAGTGAATGAAGACCCAGATTGTTGGGGAAAAGAGGTTGACACTGTAAAGAGCTTAGAGAGGGCTGTAAAGCATTGTGGGGCGGTATATAAGTCTAAGTGCTATTGCTATTGCTGTCTTGCGTGAACATATGAAAAATGTCAACCATTGGTTCTATCCTCATAACTAATGGTAAAGGTTTTGGATTTTCTCTTACCTTACTTTAACAGATATTATTATAATACAAGAGAATAGAATTCAAATCCATTTTATATCGTATTGGGTGTACTTTAGGTTAACCAATTGATTGGTGAGAAAAGTGTGCTGAAGTTTCCAGGGTTCTATACAGTAAAGCCCTAGAAGGAGTGGCTATAGAATACACGAAGGTTGTGGACTATATACTGGTTAATTGGATCTAAATATAAATAGTGATTTGAGATAAAAAATAAAATATTAAAAGTGTATATGACCATTACTGCAAAAGTTTAAATATTGATAAAATCAGCAAAGTGGTTATTGATATCAGCAATAATTGATTAACAATTAGTGAGGCAGCCTTTGTTTTTGAAAAGGAGAATATTTGTGAAGCAAGGATGAAAAACATCCAAATATGCCATGATAAACCCTTTAACTCGGACAAGGTGTAGGCCAGCATAATAAAGATTGCTTATCGTCTTCACTCTCTTCAACTCTTTAAACATTTATTGGCAATGTATTACTGTTAATGTAATATTATTTCTAGAAACCAGTGACTATTGTCAGACAGATTATATAATGTCTCTCACTGGAAATGTGACAGTATGTTAGATTTCCAGTAACAGTGGTTTAGCTTTATCCATATTCTTACTGTTACGAAATACAATTCTCCTGAAATCTGTAAAGTACACAATGTGGGCCAAAGAGAGGATTTGGATGTTCTATTATCTCAATTGACATAAGACATCTTTTTCTTAGTATCAGAATTTAATCTGAGATGTAGGTATGTAATTACTACAATTCTGTTAGTTAATCTCTCATCAGCACAATGGCAACAAACTTAATTTTGATCATACACCATTAAATGTAAAAAAGGAAAATTACATTAATTTCATTAATTCCACTGAAATGTATAATTGATAAAAGATTATTAAAAACTAAATTGCTAATACAATACTATAAAATTAACAGTAAAATATATATGTAATTTTTTTAACCATTAATACTAAAATGTTAAACTAAATGTGCCTCTGAAAGCCACAAATGGGATGGAAAAAGTGTAGAAAAAAATAAAAGAATATTCTGTAAGGTTCCCCATGCTTGGTATCCTTAATTTTGTATTTGTGAATTTTAGATGCTGCAAGACAAACCCTACATTGTATGGTTCTTTATCTGAGAGAAGAAGATCACGAAGAAAACTGTCATTACACCTCATTACGTTGAGGACTTCCTATATGCAGGCTTTAAGTTATGAGACAACAAATTTTAATACCAATTGGCAAGGAAGAATAATAAAAATAGTTAATTGTGGGCTTATAATTGGTTGCTATTTATGAAACAGGATGCTTGACTAGATTGGTATACTTTGATCCAAAAAGCGTTTCTTATTATTACACTCTTCAATGGTTGTTTATTAATATGTTTTTAATAATATTGCATAATGTATTAGCACATACATTCCTAAATTCAAATTATTCCCTTTTTTCTTTTCTTAACAGGTACAAACAATAATTCCAGAGTAGTATATGTTCTTAATATTAGCCTTTAAAACGCTTTTGGGGGCCCGTGTATGGTGTCACTTCTAATTAAAATGTTTTTAATTTTTCTGTGCTACATTTCTGACATATTGTTTTTTTTTAAAGATAAGGCTTTTGATTGTTTTTTTAAATGTTAGACCTTTTGATTAATGTAATTTATGACATGCTGAAGTCTATAACTGAAAAGAAATACTTCAGTACTTTTGCTGGATCATCAGATAGCAACTGAAGGACAATTTATGGTTTTATAATATAGTTTTAAATTTAACTGAATAGTACATAAAGCAACTTAATTTCAAATATTTTAAAAACACCTGCTTTGTCTTTACTTAACCCCCTCTGAGTTGATACAAGAAAGTTAAGTTTTCCTCAGACTTTCTTAGTTTCTGTGATAATAATAACAATAGCACATAGACCGTTTCACAGTGCTTTACAGCCCTCTAAGTGGTTTACAGAGTCAGCCTATTGTCCCCAACAATCTGGATCCTTATTTTACTGACCTTGGAAGGATGGAAGGTTGAGTCAACCTTAAGCCTGGTGAGATTCGAACTGCCAAATTGCAGTTTTAGTGGAATCCTTGGTACTTTCTGATTTTAAGTGCAAGAGTTCTAGTAAACCTCATACAAAAGATATTATGTAATATAGGATCCATACCTCTTTGGATTGGGAGTTTAAGAAAAAGGAGGTGGAGTGTACATATCATTCTAAAAACATACTCTTTATATTCCCTCCTTAAATGCTACTGTGCTTTAGGGCCTAGCTAACTCTTAATCCTAATTCACTGTATATATTTGCCTAAAATGTAAAGTTAAATGTGCTGCAGCTGGATAAAAAGCCAAGTTAAATTCTAGTAGAGGGTTTGAATTCCATAGAAAGATCTATGGTAATCAATAAAAGTTAAAAACACCAGAAAGGACATACACTGTGTAAAAACAGAAATTATCCTGACTCCCAAGGGGTGGTGCTGATAGAAGTCATCTAAAACTACATAACATGTTATTTCAAATAATAGCTGTATTTAAGAAACAATGCAAGTAATTGAAATCTGCCTCACAGTCTGCCTCACAGTCCTCCAAATGGTCATACCAGAAAAGTGTCTGATTGTTATTATTATTCTGTTAATTTGGACTTTAACTCGCTTTACATATCTACAGTTAGTTAGATAAAGACTAGTTCTTAATACCGTAATAAAAAAGTGAGAGGAAGTCTAGTTCCCTACCCCAAATAGGAATGTAATGTAGGCTTACTATGAGTACAATAACGTAGGAAGACAAGTTTCCCCCCTCATTTAGAAGGGTGCATATCTTAAGAGAAAACACACAAAAAAAAAAAACCTGAGAGAAAGTTTACTGTTTTGAGAGGCTCCTTTGTGTATGGCAGGATTTTGGAATTCCAGCAAGGAATGGCAACAGTAACAGTATAACAGAATTGGAAGGGACCTTGGAGATCTAGTTCAACCCACTGCTCTAGCAGGAGACCCTATAACATTCTGGACAAATAGTTGTCCAATCTCTTCTTAAAAACTTCCAGTGATGGAGCACCCACACTTGAGGCAAGCCATTCCACTGATAAATGTTCTTACTATCAGGAAATTTCTAAATATCTAAATTTAGACATTCTAGTTCTAAGTTGGATCTTAGCTTTGATAAGTTTCCAGCTGTTACTTCTTGTCCTGCTTTGGAGAATGAGACAACCCCTTTCTCTCTATGGCAACCCCTCAAATATTGGAAGACTGCTATCAAGTCACCACTAGTCCTTCTCTTTTTAAACTAGACACACCAGTTTCTGCCATCGTTCATCATATGTTTTAATCTCCAGTCCCCTACTCATCTTTGCTGCTCTTCTCTGCACTCTTTCTAAATTCTCAGCATGTTTTTTGTATCATGGTAACCCAAAAC